ATATAGATACATATTTGTGTATATATATTTATATTATATATATATACATATATATGTATGTATATAAGTATGTATTTATGTATGTATGTATATATGTATATATGTATATATATATATAAATATATATATATATGTGTGTATATGTATATATATATGTATGTATATATGTATGTATGTATGTATGTATGTATATATATTTATATATAAATATATATATGTATATATATACGAAAGAAAAAAGTGCCCAAAGTACTCCAAGTAAATTCTGGCTGACTTTGCTTATCACTATGCCCACGGGTTTTAAAGGCGGGCCAGATATTACGTTAGTAGACGGACCAATGCTGCGGACGGGTACGGCCCGATACGAGACGGCTATGAGGCAGCTTGAACGGGCGGTGCAGATCCGAACTTCGGGCTTTTGTTGCACGTCGCAATTTTAAGACAGCCACGCTACGGTCCGCGTATTAACTGGCTGGCTGGCTGGTCGGGTCGGGTCGGGTCGGGTCGATCAATAGCTAGAAAAACGATCCGGATAGGAGATTCTGGCAAGAGGGAAAGGCTGGGTAGCCGGTTGTACTCGGAGATTCAAATGTATACTTAATCTGGCCAGCTGTTATTCAGACCAATCGCCGATTACCTTAAATATAATTCGAAAAAAAATTACCGACTTAATATAGCAAGTCGGCATCGCCGACCCGGGACACTTACATTTGCCTTTATAAAATCGTTAGAAAAATAACCACTGGTCATATCGTATATAGTTCTGTATAGAAATATTTGTCGTAATGATTTTAATATTAATGAATTTAATGCTACTTGAATTATGTGCAGTTAGTCTGTTATTGTGCTGTGGTAAAGTAATAAACACAATACTTTGGTTTACTTTTCAAAAATGTGAGTCCGTGCGCTGACCAAGCGAGGAGAGTCAACAATGCCTTTTTTGAGCTTGGAAGCCAGACACCAAGGCTATCCAAATAGCGATTGAATCGATTCCGAAGACGATAAACAAGGTAGCGATGATGACTTGGCTTTACGTAATAGCAATTTTGAGCATGACCAGTGCGTCAAGAGTCGATGGCGAGGAAAGGTACGATAAGTTACGATAATTACTGATCTTGGTACTGTTTTATTAGCGTACAGATGTCAGTGTTGCCGTGTAAATACTAAAATAAGTGAAGAATACGAAAGTCGGACTTCTATCAAAATATATCAAAGGTATACGTGCATCACGATCAACTTTTATTTAGTAATTATTGCCTTATGTGTTAGAATAAATTAGATGATTTCCTATCTATTTACATAACGTTTTTTCCAATCGGAGTTATATTTGTTAAGATATTCGAAGAGGACGAGTAAAACTTAAGTATGTAGGACAGTTTTTAACTATATTCTCATTACTTTTTAATTGTTCGATTCGCAATAAATGAAGCTGTGATTTAATAAGTGTTTTGATAATCGTATTCCGGGTCGCAAAGTGTGCGGGTCGATGGTACCGACTTGTGAGGCAAATCAAATCAATTTCTTTCGAATTAAATTTAAGGTAATCGTGCTTGGCTATAGGATCTGGCTACTCTTTTTTTCCGTCCTTTTGATTTTTCTTTCACTTTGGATTTCTGCAAGAGCTGAGCTGCTATATGATGTGGATCCGTAAGATTTATGTTGCCCGCAACGAGCATGGATTCTTTGTTGCACGTCGCACCTTAGCTGCAGCGGGCCGGCCCGTCATATATAGTAATATGTACGGAATGTATCTTCTTCCCCCTTGGAATAAGGGCAGGATTTTAAGGGTGGCACGAGCCAAAACGTAGCAAAAGTCACTATGCTATCCGTAGGGTCTTGCTTTTATTTTTCGAAGGAGGGGAGCAGCGTAGTGCCTTTTCAATCCAAAGGAACCTTCCCTTCATATTATTATATTATATTGACGAGCTGAATTTGTATATAGAGTTTGAGACTTTGGTTTTGAGCGTTTTCCTTATGCATACTATTATTTACTATCATAGCTGACCTCGGTCCGGCCTTGGTTCTGATCGTTTTCCGATTCTGATAACACTGCGATCTTAATTCAGCTGCGGCGCCTTCTGCTTTCTCGCCTTAAAAAAAAAAATCCCTTCATCAAAATAAAACCAAATTTGTTAATCATGTCTTATAAAACCATCCTAGAAGTATAATACATTTGAAAATCATAATTACCGTACGATTCCGTAATGCAATATAAAGTGGGTCAAGATGAAGAACATTACGGTAAAAGTTTGGAATTCCGCCGCCCTCATTAAAATCCAAGCCTTTCCTCGTCAATTATCATATCACAATACAACATCTTAATACATATCTGATTCAGCAGGATTGCATAAAATTATTAGAGAGTTCTAATAGTATTGTTTTCGGATTGGTTGGACGCGAACTCGTAAAGTTGTTAATAATACTATCAGGACTGAGATTTGCTTATATCTGACAAGCGAGAAAAAGGATAACTTCATAAGCAGAATCCAACATCCTAAGACGGAATCGAGCCTTTTGTCGGCTCAAAGCTGGAGATTTTGATACTTGCTTTATTTATCATTCTCTGCAAGTCGCCCGGCCATTTCACGCCGTTGTCGACCCTTATCGTGCACGTTAGACGCTGGAGGGACAGCCTGGAGCGCTGGTTAGGGCCCGAGGATAAGGGTCAGTACGGCCACGGCTTACCCAGGTCTTATTTACATCAAAAAATACGGCAAAACTCTATTCTCTTTTGACAATCTATTTTATCTATAAAATAAAAGCGCAGTGGATAGCAGTACAGCTTATTGTATCATTTTGAAATGCTTTCTGGGGCGTTCTTTCTTGTATGTAATTCCTTACCTTAACACGTCGCCGTACCCGATGCTATAGGAGGTCCCAGGGCGGCAGACTCCCTTGCTACCCGCCCGACGTTAGTAAATACAATAATAATAACAATAGTAACACTCGGACTTGTACTCTATACTCGGACTCAGGTCCTGCACTCGAGATTGTTTTATTGTACTCCAGCATTCTTCCTTTGCTGTAAGGGTGTCACTGATAAAGCAAGGCATAGGGCACGGTAAAAAAGGTTCTGATTCTTCAAAACAAAAAGCTCTGCCGCGCCTGCATAAGCTTTTAGCTGCCTGGCTTGGGCACGTATTGCGCCCCGTAACACAATTCGCCCTCTTATACTTCACGCCCTCGTGAAGACAAGTCCTTTCCCTATACTTCCGTAAAACCTTCCGTATATGCCCATTGGAGTAACGAGTCAGGAAAACCACGAGGGCAAAAACTTGCTCCATGCTCCGTATAGACCCAACCTTTTAATTCCAAAGCTTCCATCCACTCCTTTGCCTTTTATAGAAGTCGTAGTCGGTGCTGTGAGACCGCCTCCCCCGCTGTAATCTACACCCTCGTAGATACGCTGCACCGGTGCCGATGGCCATCGGTACTGATCATAGCCTTCCAATGAGTGCTATTAACATGGTCTTGATTGCTTTGCATCACAGCCCTTCGGTATCGATGCTGATCATAGCGTTCCGATCGGTGCCATCAGGTCTTTATTGCTCTGTATCCGCAAGCATTACTCTGTATCCGCAGGCATTACTTTGTATCCGCGGGCCTTGCTCTGTATCCGCAAGCCTTGCTCTGCATCCGTAAGCCCTGCTCTGCATCCGCAGGCCTTGCTCTGCATCCACAGGCCTTGCTCTGCATCCGTAGGCCTTGCTCTGCATCCGTAGGCCTTGCTCTACATCCGCAGGCCTTGCTCTGTATCCGTAGGCCTTGCTCTGCATCCACAGGCCTTACTCTGTATCCGCAGGCCTTGCTCTGTATCCACAGGCCTTACTCTGTATCCGCAGGCCTTGCTCTGTATCCGTAGGCCTTGCTCTGCATCCGCAGGCGTTATAACGGTGCTAATCACAGCCTTTCGATATCGGTGCTATCAATGTGGGCATCGTTGCTCCGTACCCGCAGATTTCATTGGAAGCTCGTATAGCTATCGGGGCCATGATTATGGAATTGCGGAGGCTCTAACTCGTGGACTATTAGCAAAAGTTGTACCTTATCGTATCGCTCTGCAAAGAAGAATCAGATTGTAAGGGGGCTCTTGACAAAGCAAGGAATACGGCACGGAAAAGTGGGTTCTGGGTCTTGAAAAAGGGAAGAAGCTTTACGGACCGAGCCCGCAGAAGCTTATAGCTGCCTGGCTTGGCTACGTGCGGACTGCCCCCCGGTGCCCAACACCACTTAAGCACATCGATGTTCGGCCCTGGGATCCTGTGTAGGTGTCCTGAAGGTGTTCCGAGGCGATTTAGAGGCGAATGCAGACCCTTAAGCCTTGCTTTCGCTCTACCAGGTCCAGTTTGGGTATATCTATGTAGCGTTCAGCGGATCTGATGATAGGGCTTTGGGTTGAAGTGAGGCGTTGCATCAGTATGTCGCAAGCCTCGGCGCCGTAGGTGATTCCAAAGCTAGGCCGGCGGTTACGGAAGCTTCGAGAGAAAAAAAGGATGGTGAGGTGTTTTAGGTTGCTTTCGGTAGGCATCAGGCATGCCTATGGGTAGCAGGCATTTAAGAAGACTTTGAACTCCCCTATTGATTGTGGTCCGTTAAATAAAAGTCTTTCGAGCCCTTCTTGATTGACTCTCCGGGTTGAAGCTGGCCACGGAAGCTGGAGTCGCAGTCGTAGATCTTGGTATTTAATAGTATGTAGTCTCCGGCTTCGTCCGGGAATATGATGCATTTGCAGTCTGCAGTCTGCATTCTGCACTTCTGCACTTCTGCACTTCTGCACTTCTGCACTTCTATACTCTGCACTCTGCACTTCTGCACTTCTGCACTTCTACACTTCTATACTTCTACACTCTGCACTTTGCAGTCTGCACTTCTGCACTTCTGCACTTCTGCACTTCTGCACTTCTACATTCGGCCACTCTGCATTCTGCACTCTGTTCTCTCACTCGGACTACATACTCGGATTCTGCACGTGGTATGTGAGCCCTGCAGACGCAGGGATTAACTAGCATTGGCGTTGCTCTGGTCCATAATCAGACCGTTTTCGTAGCACCGAAAAATGCAAGTCATTCAATCTATACGGAATACTTCCTTCGAATCCTGTCCATTTTAATTACTTTAGTTGAATATTAAAGATAATTTGCATTAGATTTATTCTCGAGGTTTTATACTCAGATTTTGCATTCGGATTTGGGATTCAGTACTCGGGAATCTGCATTCTGCATTAGTTGTCGGGACTCGGGATTCTGCATTCTGCATTGGTATTTGCGTCGTCAAGGCCCACTATTATTCTGTGTTTTGTATTTTGTATTCTGTGTTCTGTGTTCTGTCTTTTGTGTTCTGTGTTTTGTATTTTTTATTTTGTGCTCTGTATTATTTTGTGTTTTGTGTTCTATATTAATCTGTGTTCTGTGTTCTATATTATTCTGTGTTCCGTATTCTGTATTCTGTGTTCAATGTCCTGTCTTCCGTGTTCTGTGTCCTGTCTTTTGTGTTCTGTGTTTTGTACTCTATATTTTATGTTCTGTATTATTCTGTGTTCTGTGTCCTGTCTTCTGTGTTCTGTATTTTGTACTTTGTACTTTATGTTCTATATTACTCTATGTTCTGTGTTCTGTATTATTCTGTGTTCTGTGTTCTGTGTTCTGTATTCTGTATTCTGTATTCTGTATTCTGTATTCTGTATTCTGTATTCTGTATTCTGTATTCTGTATTCTGTGTTCTGTGTTCTGTATTCTGTGTTCTGTATTCTGTATTCTGTATTCTGTATTCTGTGTTCTGTGTTCTGTGTTCTGTGTTCTGTATTCTGTATTCTGTATTCTGTATTCTGTAGTTCTGTATTCTGTATTCTGTATTCT